ACTAAAGAAAGGCATAAGATGTTCTCGCTAGTGTTGGGAGAAACTACTTTTGTGGCACAAATGCCTTCCTTTGTTGCCTACAAATAAATGCATTCACTGACACAAAGCACAACTGTTGTAAAAATATTAGTATGCAGATGCTCTGGTGTTTTGTTAATGCATTTAATTAAATACAATATCTCCATTGTTCTTTTTCTTGACACCCCCCAGCCCCCACAATGAATGTGTATTATGGCATAGAATCTAGCCAGTGTTCATGAATAAAATTCCTTATATTGTGTTTGCTGTCCACAGAATCTTTAGGCAGGCATTAATATGTTACCTCCAATCTCAAAATCTTTGCATGGCAGGTTTTTCAACAAATTTATTATTTGCTGTCAAGTAGTTTCTACCCTATGGTAAATCTAACTACAGTTACAAAGTACAAGAAATTTTATACCATTGTCACTTCTCAGCGAGTTTCCATAGCTGAAGAAGGATTTGAACCCAGGCCTTCTAAGTCCTAGTCTGACATTCTTTTCAATACCTCACTTGGCTTGCAAGGTGTTAGCACTTCTGCTTCAATTTAAATCTCCATAGTCAGCAAAAGCAGACAGCAAAACTGCTAAAGTCAAGAAAAAGTAACAGAAATATTGTCGATACACTGCTTTTTGCTTAATTGGTATTTGTTAGCAAAAAGAAAATTTAAAAAACAGCAAAGTTGTCCTCTATTTCCTGATAAATCTTCCTGTTTTAAACAAATAGATGAATGGCAGGCAGAAATTCAAAAGGTCGAAGGCTTTCACATTTTGAAATGTGGGATAGAATACCACAGCTGTTGAATATCTGCTTGTTAAATGATGTATGTGTCAGAACATTACCAGTACAGTACTTTATTAGACTATCAGCATACCATCCTCATCATGTCTTAAGTTTATGTTGTTGGGTGTTTTTTTTCCAGATATGGGGGAATCTCACAAATAAATAAGGTCTGTTAAAAAGTAATGGTTCTTTGAAAGAAAGAACAATGGCCAGCCTATGTACAAGCTGAAAGGCAAATGACGTCTGTGAGCCAGTAACAGAAAAAGAGAAGGCAGAAAGAGCACTCCCTACTCAAGGAATATTAAAAGGGAGCAGTGAGGATGCAGTATTTTTTCATTCTTATCTCAGAAGCTTCCATAATGGGCTGGATCCTAAGTTCCATTCAGCTTGCTCTGTTCCTCTTCAACCTCCAGTGCAAGAGAAGTATCATCGTGAACTAAAGAAGGTGCTTGCCCTCAAATTGAGGATGCATTTCCCCCTTCCACTGGCAATAAGGCATCTATGTCCCAGTGGGTCCATCTTTCAGGTCAAAAATTGTGTAATTTTATGTGACAAGACAAAAGGTAGATTTCAAAATACTGGCCAAAAATTTTGGAACTCTATCAGAATTTCGCAAGCTGCTTTTAAAAATGACTGTACTGATGTGCTGAGACCATTTGTAAGTGAGCATCCCCATTTTTCCCCTTACAATCTTAAGTCTCCAACCTATGAACTCTGTGCAAACAGAGGCTTAGAAAATGGATTCCTCTCTTTATCATTGTCTGCCACTGTGTACCATCAGTACAATCTTCCTTTCTTTCATCCCTTAATAAATCAGCAGAATACAAAATTTATAATATATATAAATTATTACTACTTGTTTAAAAGCTAACATATAGCATTACTGTACTTAAAAATAACTTCACTTATATAACTATTACATTTATATTGCTATCCTTATGTTAGCAAATTCTTCTTTCAGGAAGATGGGTTTATCAGTGACTTATAGTTATGAGCGTTGAATGGAACCTGCATCCGTAGATGAAGCATATTGTTGAATACCAGACTCTGGGCACAACCAAGGGGAAGGTCTTCATATTCTAAACAGACCCTGCCCATCCTCTGTATGATTATCTTTCAAGTATTTGAAAAGTGCTCAAATCTTACCTTTGTCTTCTTTTTTCAACTGAAAATGGCCAATTATTTCAGTCTTTCCTTATAGTCCTTGATTTCCAATCCCCTGAACATCCTTGTTGCCTACCTCTAAACTTATTCCAGTTTCTCAGGAATGATCTTAAAGTGTGGTATCCAGAACTGGTCATGGTATTCAAGATGAGGCCTAACCAGTGCGAAATGGAGGGGAACTACTACTTTATGGAGACTATACATCTGTTAATGCATCTTAAAACACCACTTGCTTTTTTTTTTACACATCACACTGTTTGCTCATATTCAACTTGTAGTCTACAAGCATTCCAAGATCCTTCTTGCTAACAGTATTATTGAGCCAAATATACACCTATTATCTATCTATCTATCTATCTATCTATCTATCTATCTATCTATCTATCTATCTATCTATCTATCTATCTATCTATCTATCTATCTATCTATCTATCTATCTATCTATCTATCATCTATCTATCTATCTATCTATCTATCTATCTATCTATCTATCTATCTATCTATCTATCTATCTATCTATCTATCTATCTATCTATCTATCTATCTATCTATCTATCTATTTTAACTTTTATAAAAACTATGTTTGTTTTTCTGTAGTTGTAGAACTTTGCACTTGTTAAATTTCATTCCGTTGTTTTCATTCCAGTGCTTGAGCTTATCAAGATCTTTTTGAATTTTATTAATGTCTTTAGGGAATTGGCTATTCCACCCAATTATATGTCATCTGCAAATTTGATAAGCATTCCCTTCTCCCTCTCATCCAAACCAACAAGTGAGCACCTTGTGGTACCTCACTTACTTCCTTTTCCATGTTTGAGAAGGACCCATTGATAAGCACTCTGAATATAATTCTGTAACCAAGTGTATCTACCTTATTGTTGTTCTATTTGGCCAACCCCTTGTTATCTTGCTAATCAATATATCATATAAATGCTTTGCTGAAGTCAAGATACATTATATCTACAGCATTCCCACCATCTACCAGGGAAGTTACTGATTTCCAGGTTTTCTGTGAGTTTATTATGAATCCAATCCACATTGGTATTTTTGGTCTTCCAGCTTTTTTTTCTAGTTGGAATTGCTTGTACTTGTGCCTTTAGAATTTAGAAACTTCCACTCACTTTTGACTCCTTTTTGTTAGGATCTCCTGCCGTGGGATTGTACTTTACATTATTCTGAGTTTACTAAAATTGGATTTCAAAAAATCCAGCATACGTATGTAACTACAATCTGCTTTTGCTTCCTTTGAAATCAGGGCCTCAAGTGGAACATAACCATTTCTCCTCAGTGTTCCCCTTATTGCCAGTTCTTCCACCAAGTTATATCTATTGATTAGAACAGAGGCTTCCAATGTTGGGTAACGTAGGTGATCTTGGACTGCAATTCCCAGAAACCTCCACCACCAGTTGTGCTGGCCAGGGTTTCTGGGAGTTGCTTTCAACTTTCAGCTTTCCTAAGAGGGGAATGGCTTCAGCCTCCTAATTATTTTGGTTTTCCTTTTCTTCACATGTATAGTAACATGGAGGTGTGCCCCAAACAGATGTTGGTTTAAGCAGAAAACAGAATTGTTGTTCTGCTATTTTGTTTTTTAAATTGATCAAGCAGAGTGTGTGTTTTGCAAATAAGAAATGTTTAAGTTCTGTGTGGGGTGTGAGGACTAGTGGAATAATATTGTATGAGGGGAAAACCAAACAACTGACGCGTCAAAGAATAGTTGTGGACACATATTCTGAGATTCTGTTTATTAAGGGAAACAAGGATATGTTGCCACAGATTCAATTCCATAATCAGCCTCCAACTGTATGCATTGGATGTAGGTTGGACTGGTTTTGACTGTATCGCCACCCAATTGTTGCATGTTTTATGTTGGACAATTTTCTCTACATGCAGCTTTTGCGCTCTGATTCCTTCCAACCCTCCTGATTTCAAGCCTGCAGCAATTGTGTATTTATAAACCAAACACATCTGTAATGCTTGGCTTAGACAAATATTTTTCTCCACGATACGTTTGTTAATCTGCCATCCTGTTAAATGCCCACTGTTAAGACCATGACCATGCCGGCACACTGTACATTTCCATTTCCTTCCATACCATCTTCTCCAGCACCACCAAACTATGTTTATAGATTTCTGTCTACGGAGGCTACACTGAACTCCACAGAAACTTGTGCCAAATGAAAGTGTATAAGGTGCTCTCAAACCCTTTGGGTTTTTTTTTCACTTGATTATGCTTTTTGTGTTCCGAATTAAGAAGATACTACAAAGCTGAAAAAATATGCACCTTTATTAGAATAATTACCGTATAATATCTGAGTCAGAAGATGAAATATCCCGTGAATAACATGACATAATGATTAATTATGTTTGCTATCCCGGATAGAAATTCAGATATACTGAAAAATAATTATCCCGCTTATAAATTGCTCAACTAGGGAAGTCATATGGAAATTCTGGAGGGTGCTGCATTGTTTCAAACACAAAATAGACAAAGCATAAATGTTTTTTGTTTAATCGCTAGAGCAAATTAGAATCACATGCAAATGCAACCCAGTCATGAATTCTCTCTCATAATTACATCTTCTGCCAAAAGAGAGAGTGTGTTAGAAAAGGGTGGTGGGGGCAGACTTCATAATATTTTGTAGATCCGTCATCTTCAGAATTAAACAGAATAATTAAGAAGACTAATTCACACTTAAGACAATGTATTTTCAATTATGAATCAATAGCAATTTGTGATAATAGATTAAAGAATGTTCTAGCCTGTTGATAGCTGAAGAATTTCATTTATATTTGCAGTATAGGTTTCACCAGACACACACACATGCCAGCCTGCCTGCACCTCTTTTGAAACATATTAATTCTGCTAAAATTAAGATCCCTGCATTGGGTTGGTAGCAGGCCGTGTAGCTGCTACAGCTATAATCTATGGACTTTGTGTAAAGCAGCTAACTCAAGGCAATGGAAAGAAAGCAGCATTGTTCCAGCACTCTGTTTTTAACAGGCCTGCATTCATATCTCATCCTTGTTGTTTGCAGGAGAGGCAGATGTGAACCAGAACAATGGGACCTCCACTAAGAGCACAGCGGTGACAGACTCCAAGGGCACAGTAGATCCAAAGAATGCCTGGAAGGAGGCCAACCCAGCTGACACAACTGGTCGCCCCCATTTGGTCCGCCTCTTTTCCCGAGATGCCCCAGGGAGAGAAGACAACACCTTCAAAGATCGGCCCTCTGAATCAGATGAGCTACAGACGATTCAGGAAGACAGTGCAGCAGCGTCTGAGAATTCGGATTTGATGGCTTCACAGAAACGCTCCTCTTTCCGGCACGGATCCAAACTTGCAACTGCAAGTACCATAGACCATGCTAGACATGGATCCCCAAGAAGATACAGGGAACCAGGTCTACTTGACTCACTGGGGAGATTCTTTGGAGGTGACAGACATGTCCCCAGGCGGGGCAAGGTGAGCTCAGAGGAAAGGAGGTCAGAATAGGTGCTATAAAGTCAAGAACTGTAAATTGAAGGGGTGGGAGAAAAGTCAATAGAACTGAATCAGCATCAAGGAGCGAGAGTTGACTTAGCCAACAGGATGGTGTTTTTCAGTTTCTAACATGATAGTTGGCAATTTTTAAAAAATGTGTGCTAGAATATGTTACGGCAACCCTGTCACCCAATTGAAAAGAACTTTCAAATTGTCCCATATCTTCTGCCAACTGAAGGCTGGGATTATAATTAGTTGGGATGTGGCTGTAATAAGGCTTCCATCTGGAGTTCTGTTGCTCATTATTTGTGGGACGCAAGGTGTATATGGTGAAGGAAGGGTTGATCTTCTTTTAAACTTTTCTCCACAACATGAGTGATGTTGTTTTGTTTTGTTTTTTGTTTCTGAAAAATCCGACTAGAGGGGAGTCCTAAAAAGGCAATCATTTGTAGCAGTTCTGCAACAGCTTTGTTTAATGTCTCTTGGTTTAATACCTATTTTGACCCTTGGTGGCATGTTGTAACATCAGTTGTGCTGTTAGGCTAAGGTGAAGCATTGTGAAACCTGCAGGTGTCTTAATCGATCCTATTTTTTTTTTCTCAGTAAGAGAAACAAAACCAGAGGGAAGTGGGATATGAATGCATCCACATTCAGTGTATTAAATTGTACTATTTGATTAAGAATTATTTTTGAGCTTTAGTGTAAGAAACTAATTTTTAGAAACTTTGTGGAATGTCGTGCTGATGTCGTGCCAATATTTGTATATCTAGATATTTAAAAAGTAGCAAACGTCACACCAATATTTGTATATCTAGATGTAAAACAAGAATGTGTACTCTTTTCCATACAATAATCAAGATTAATCAGGAGATGGAGAAAAAGATCAGTTCTTTCATTTCTTTCAATGTTCTGTATATCACTGCAGTGTCTTATAAACCATCCGGCTACTGGCTGTTACACTGTCTATTTTCCTATGTACTTTTTGCACCTGACAAAAAAAAAAGACTTTTGGAATTCAGAAACTTTGCTGGGAGCTCTTAGAAAGGAACATGGCTCTCTGGTAGAGCACATGCTTCCCATGGAGAAAGGCTTCAGGTTACTCCCAAGCATCTCTGAATAAGGTTAGGAAAGAATCCTGCCTGAAACCCCTTGACAGCCACTACTTGTGTAGACAGTACTAACTTTGATGGACCAACAGTCCACTTCCTGTATTGCCACAGGAAGGGAATAATGTGCTTTATTTATTTCCTGCTCTGGCAGGTGAAGGTCCCGCAGCAAGGGGTGGTACTTCAGCACTTAATTTTGCTCTGCCTGGAGGGAGTATTTTGGCATTCCCAGGCACTCCATACTATGGATTTCTCTTTCTAACCCGTGGGTAAAACTCAATTTTTTCTGCTGCTGTTTAAGAATTTTCAAAATTAAAAAGCTTTAAGACATTCCAGTGCAACTGCATTTTAAATGCTTAAACATTTCCCTTTGATCAGAGAACATGGTGGTTGTTGCACAAATACCCTGGTAGGAGTCATGTTTTTGTACGAATAACTGGGGCTGGTAGTTGGGTATCAACAATTACAGGCTATCTTTTTGAAAGGGGGGGGTTAATCGTCATCATTTGCCAGTCCTTATTGCTGGAGAGCCTGAAACTACATGTTTCATTATAATATTGCCCATACTGGCTGACTGGATCAACTCTGATTTAAATGACATAAAAAAAATTAGACTGAAATGTTGTAAAATTGCAAAAAAGGGATAGGTACAGCACACCTGTAGGACAATGGTATAGGGAGAATATGATACTGAGCTATATCTGCACCTACAGTAAGCAGTCAGGTACTATTTTGAACACAGTTACTGAAAAGCATTCATTTGAAACATGTTGGTGATAGTGAATTTAACCTGGATTGTGTATGTCTTTATAGCTAGCAATCATTGTGAAATCTGTTTACTTATTGGGGAAGAGATGTATATAGACAAACTGTCTCTCTCTGTCATATGAACTATAATCGTTTTGTATGGTTGACTCATAGCACACTGCTATCACTTTTCACTGCCTTTATTGGTCCATTTAGATCTTGGCAACCTATAACCCAGTGCCTAAAGAACAAAAATAACAGGTTGTAAATAATTCCAAATACCATTGTAGCTAAAGCAGAAACTCTGTTTTTTTGAAATGCTGACTTGCAAATACCTTGGACAAAGTCAGCAGCAACCAACTGTGTCATTGCACAACAATATTACTCATAGAAATAATAATGCTGGTAATAAAAAAATGTATCCGAGGAAAGCATTCTTGGAGACATTCAATGCTGGAAGCTAATTCAATAAGTGCCATGGACATGTGTTTATATTAGATGTGCATGTGTATTTTTTAGGAAAGCTTAGTTGTTTGCCTACGGTTATCTGTGTCCTTCAGTAGTCTTGATCAGTGTGATTATCAGAGAGTTGTTGTTGTGCATGATGATGTCAAAATTGTTGCCGAGATAGATCATGTTTCTTCACACTATACGAGAAGCAAAACAGTAGCTAGGCATTGTGTTTAGTAGTACAACAAACACCGCTGCACTTTGAAAAATTACTAGAAAACACCCAAAAAATAACAAGGGGAAAAAAAGGGAAACCAAATGCTGCAAATAAATATTATGTCATGCCATCAAAGAGTATCTTTGCTGGAAACAAGAATCATAAGCAAGCGAGCCATGCTGCTGGCAGGCTAGATCTGGGATTGCATTAGAACAGCCTCTTAGAAGACTGAAGAACCTCAGTATTCATTACATGGATTGTACCATAAAGCTGTGGGTTGCATAATGAAACAGGGTGTGCCAAGAACCTCTTCTAAGGCAGTTGGTCCGAGGATGATGTTCAGGGCACAGATCCAGTCTTCTGTCCCAAGGATTGCAGTCTTAGTTCGTATATCTGATGGTGTGCCCACACCAACGAGTGCTGGAATGCAGCAAGCACAAATGTCCTTTTGTCTAGAGAATGTGCTATTCAGTCAGAAAACGTTATGAATTCCTTGTGGAGGCCTATTCTTTTCTTATTAACATCCATAGATTGAAAATACATGCACGAATAATGTTCTTCTTTGTTTGAAAAGAGTAGGAGGAAGGAAAGCTACAATGAAGCTCATTTTATTTCTGCCCTTCTCCTCACCCTTATAGGGGGGCAGATTCTGAGTTAACCTACTATTTATAACACATGATAATATATATGCTTGAAGAATATAAAACATACCAATATCTATGTGTGGACGTATTGTTTATACTTTGAGCCAACAAAATCTCACCTGTGTTCCTGTATTTGTTCCCAAATCAACATTTCTGTTATTTATCAGAAAGTAAGACAAAGGGAGACTTAGCTGTCATCAGAAAAGGTCTGAACTATTACCAGGCCTTTATAGCTTTAGAAATACCCAAGACCTAATACTTAGCTTGAGTGAATCTGCTCATGGCAGCAATTAAAAAAAAAACTGTATAGTAGCATTTTCCAAACTTACTGATTTACATGAATCATTTTTTTATCACTAAATTTTTTTGCAGCCTATTATGTAAGCAGTGTTTTAAATGTTTTAAGGCAGCCTATGTCTCGATGCTAAAAATGCAGCCATTTCTAGTGAATTTGTTACGTCTATTCATAAATATTTTGCATTCATCGTAGTACAGGATGGAAAGCAAAATGCAGGGTTCCACTACATATGACATTTTCCTCCATCTCTCTCTGCAGTAGGTTCATCTTTTCACTCTCTGTCAAACTGACTAAGCAGTACCTTCCCCACTGGAAACCTATGGTACTTATCCAGAGATGTGTGCCCCACAGGTTGGGAGCCGGTGCTCTAAATGACAGCCCTGTGATGTAGTGAAGTATTTTTTTTTATGGTTTACCAATTATTTTTAGACAAAACATGCATTTTTAGCAAGATGCTATTAGGATGGGTACAGTGAGACAGAGAATTGGCTACTGATGAGTAGTGAACAAAGAGTTTCTTTTGCCTGTTACCAAATTAATCAGTTTGGCTGGCCACACCCTGTTAATTTTAGAAGCTACAGCTTCAGAATGAACATCTACTAATAGGGGAACTCTGACAAGGAATCAAAACAGGACACCTTGTCTGGCTATCCCTGGAAGTGAGAAATCTCACAGAGGTTGAAAACTTCTCTTGAAGATGTTTTGTTCAGTCAAGACAGTCTGAACTGACAAGAACAAATAATGTATTCTTTATATCCCTAGCAGATACTGGGGGGGGGGGGGGACAGAGGTAATGCCAGAAATAGTATTTAAATGGCCATTTAGGTAGGTATTCTCCAAAATTATGCCCATGTAACATTGTGAAACCACCTGGATTGTCCTTGTTAAGTCCCTATTGAACAGAGGTTATGCCTAGATGGGACTTAGATGCTTTCTTGTATTCACGTCAGTCAGCTGAGATTGTTCTATCAGGGGAGGCTAAGTTAAAAATACAGTTACTTCCTTTCATAAAGATTATTACTTTCTGATGTTTCTTTATCAAAAATAATTATTTTTTCAGTTCTAATCACTGTTCTAAATTGCATGATGTCCTAAACATTTCCATTGGTTGTATCTATGTATGGTGGCGGTATTGTATTTTGGCAACGCTGGCATTGTTGGTTGTAGCAAATTGCAGCTAATTGACAAGGTGCTGCTCGCATGCCTAGTTGTGTGTCACTCATGGATGCACAACAGGCACCTTACTCATTAGCTTATACAATTTATCTTACACCTGAGTAAAACCCTATTAGAATTCCAGCTAATGTGGGATAAATAGATAAACACTCACGCCAATCTCTGCATTTATCATCTGGATAAACCTTGTAATGTAACAAAACTAACTGATGCATTTTTACGATTGGTAGATATAAAGTATCATACACAAATGAAATGTGCTTTTCCTGCACAACAAGCTCTGGAGAATCAGATGTCAATGCAAGGCCAGTTTTCAAGCAGGCAAAACTATTTCACCTTTTTAA